TTATTTATTTAAAAAATACAATTTTTTTTTGTTAAAAATATAATTTAATGTGTGATTACACTATTATGATTTATTTTATGTACTTATTTTCTTATTACTCTTTTATAAAATTAATAAATTTAAAAATAAAATATATAAAAAGAAAAAATGCATATAATTATTTTTAAACATGTTCTTATTACTCATTTAACATTAAACAATAACAGCTAACTATTATATAACTAAATAGTTATATCAATCGAATTTGTTATTTACTATTCATTATCCATTTTTCACTATTTGCTACTCGATACTGCTATCCATTACCTGCTAACCTGTTATCTATTAAATTTTAATCACTATAGCAAATAAAGGTAAAACCCCCAAATCCATCTCCTTAATAGTGGGTAGGGATAGATCCATTCCTAAAAAAATGCAGAGACAAATTGCCCTCCAAATTATAAATAAAGTCAAATCTCTAATTTTTTCAACATATGACATCAACTTTCCATTAAAAATACTTACATAGTAAACAAAATTCTAACATCACACATTAAAAAATAAGTGATTTGTGATCTCCATTTATAATTTGGAGGGCAATTTGTTTCTGAGGAACGGATCTGTCCCTGCTCCCCTATTTGAGAGGGTGGATTTGGGGGTTTTGCGCCTAATAAATCCCTAATTTTTTTTTGTAATACTTTATTAAAATGATCTAATTTTAAAGTATTTTTTTCACTTAATTTATTCTAGGTTGATGATACCCACTAAGCTATATATATACAATGCCCTTGTTAGTTCTGCCAGTAGACATGTATATATATCTGATGCACAGAGATAACACAACTATCAGATTCTTTAAAGTGCAATTAGGTGCAGTAGCAAAACAATAAAAATAGAAGCATGCTATCAGCAGATTGGTAAAACTAAATTATGAAAAATATCAAAGGGAATAAAAGGGGATATCAATCTTTAATTTCAAACATTGAAAAACATATATATCCTTCATCAATAGCATGTATTGATATGGAAATTAAGAGCAGAAATTTTCTCAATTCTTTATCTAATTTTATCCACTCTTCCCCGCCCTGGGAATTGCAAGACACACTAGAAAGAAAAGACCCTATCCTAAATGCTCTCAATAAAAAGCTCTTAATTAACTTCCTAATAGCAATCTTACATACTGAAAATATTATATTAGCCTTACCTGAACTCCATCGATTCTGGGAGATTAAGTAGCCAATAAAACCTTCCATCGATCCAGCGAATGCAGTATGAAAACAGAACATGCAACTGTGAAATAAATCTCTCTTGCTATATCTTCCACTTTAGGTCCTCAAAATTCTATGTATAATCTGACATGAAATTATAACTTAATTTTCTCCTTCTTCGTTCCCATCCAAACCCCCATAATATTGCAGGAGATCAACATTTCCAGGATATAATTAAACTGCAGTGATTTCCAAAACAAGCCTGGAGCACTTGCATGCAGGGAAACTTCTGAAATCTCCACTTCAAAAATCGAAGAGAAATGGATCCTCATCATCCCAAATGGAAGCTGTGGGATAATCATCATCATTCGTCAATGGCCAGACCGATGGTGATCCGGGTCCAACCATTAAAACCGGATCTGGACCCTCTGGTGCAACGGCTGTCTGAGGAGTACTAGACAAAGACAAACCTGAACCCACCGCATTCATCAACGAGTTGACATCATCAGACAAGCGACCATCAAGTTGTAGTTGCTGCTGTGGTTGATTATGCTGATAATAAGGGTTAGGGTTTTGATACGATGCTGTCTCCATGGGACCAGAACCGCGACCACCGCTGGTCTCGCTTCCATTAGTCGCCGTGTAATACTGATGCTGCTGTGGCAGTTGCTGAGCCACTTGCAATGCAGGCGGCGCCGGCTGATTCTGTACAAAGCTAGGGCACATTACGGCCGGCCCAACAACGTTCGGGAAAACCCCATATTGCAAATACCCAGTGGAAGCACCTGCCGCCATGGAAACTGGATGAAGCATCGGTACCGACGGTGAAAAGCTGAACCTCAACCCTGAAGGACGAGGTAGTAACGGCCTTAAGGTCTGCGCGGGGGAAGAAGAAGAAGAACCGCCTCGTGAAGAAGAGGACTGAGCGGAAGAGGAGGTGGATGGTTGGAGGTTGAGTTGAGCCTTGGGGCCATAAAGAACTAGAGCGGCACGGTCGTAGGCGCGAGCAGCTTCCTCTGCGGTGGAGAAAGTACCGAGCCATTTTCTAGATCGTTTTCGGGGTTCTCGGATCTCGGCGACCCATTTACCCCAACTCCTTTGCCTAACACCTCTGTACCTAAACTTGTTATTATCAGGGCCACCTTTGCCTTTAGACTTCCTGCCATTGGTGGTGGTGGCGGTGCAGTCACTGTTTGTGGTGCTATCAGTGGCGGCTGTTGCGGTGGTGTCTTGGGGAGGGTGAAGGACAGTGGTCTCGTCCATAGAGAAGGAGAGAGGGATGGATGCCTCGTTCTTTGGTTTTGATTAGTCGAAATACGCATGAGGGAGGAGTCTGAGTTTTGTGTTGAATGTCATCTCTGTTAATGGTGGATTGGGGCGGTGGCTCTTTATATTGTAGTAGTTTGTGTCTTTATATAAAGAAAGGAGGAGAGAGAGATTGCCAAAGAGTGAAGGAAACATATGCGAAATTTGATTTGGGAATATTTTGGTTTGAATTTACAATTGAATTTCATTTCTTCTTGGTTAATAGGGATTTTAAAAATTAAAAGTTCTATTTTTGGAAATTTCCTGTGAAACTTGTTGTAGCATTAAAGTACTAACTTTGGTAATTGGAGAATGAGGAGGGGAAATAAAGCCCAGCAAAGCGAGGACTCGAAGACCAAGGCGTTCATGCACCATATCAAATGGCCCAAATTGAGGGCCAGGTGCGCACCTTAAAATTGTTGAAACACTGTCAATTTGAGAGTCAAAATTGTGGTACATTTTGCTTATTAGCTTCATGGATAGAATAACATAACTAATAAGAAAAGGTTCGACTTCTCTGGTTTTTCAGGAATCCCTCAGGCCACTTTGTTTTCCGATTACTTAAAAGAGACCTTACTTCCTCAAGAAGCTAGAACCAGATATTTATGCATGTATGATAAATCTAGATCACAAATATCCTTGCTTGATCAGATTGCCTTTAGTTCCTTTTTTTTTTTTTCCCATAAGCAGATTATTGCCCCTAGTTCTAGTTTTGTTCGACAAAGTACAGAGATGCTGATTCTAGACATTAATCAATTAGAGTGTTACTAATGAATTACTTAGCCTATATAAGTAAATGCAACCCAGAGGCACCATTTTTTTCATATTGAAACATGGAAAAATCAGCTTATATACATATGGGTTCTAAAGTTGCTGATTTTCAACATTTTAGTCAAAGCTACACATCTTTCCTGGTAAAAGAAATTAATTAGACTCAATTTAAAAGTTCTAGAGATTTCAAAGACTGAATTGTCACTAGGTGTGAATGGTGAAAGATAGTCTTTAACGAGAAGAAAGGCGCAAGGTAAGGAGAAAAAGAAAAAAGAAAAGAAAAATGCAATAATATTGCATGTAGAGATGATGTGTCTGAACGCAGGAGGAGCCATGGAAGCTTTGAAACGCTGTGGGAAGATAGCATTAAGCATTAGCACATGTGGTGGGCAGCCACCAGTTATTGCCTCGTAACTCACAAAAAAGGGTCTCATAAAAGACTTTGGACAAAAATTACTCATCTGATTCTTTCCGTCTGTTTGCTGTTGGGTTTCGTCCATTTAGGGTCGGTGGGCCGTGGCTGTAATTAAACTGTGAGGTTGGAAGAGAGCTGTTCCATTTACAGCCACTACTTTAATTCCTACTCTTCACATTAAAAATACACCACAATTATCTTCCTTTGGGGATAACATTTATAAATTCCTTAATCTTATTTCATAATGTGCATTTAATTACAATCTCATCCAAGATGGTAACTTATAGATATAATGTATAATTAAATGAGTAAATCTCTTAAAAAAAATTAATTATAATAATATATTATAATTATAATTTTATGATACTGCCAAATAACGGAATAATTTTTATTTAATATATTACTTATTGCAAATTAGATTTAAATTATGTTTGGACTTATTTTTTCACCGTACCTTTTTATATAGTACTTTATTAAAAGTATTAATTTATTATAATTAAATTAATTTTAATTAACATTCTATATAATTTTATAATTATATTAATATGTAAATTTTTTAAAAAATTATCAAATAATAATATAAATTTTTTTCTCAATAAAATATTAAAAAAACTACAGGTTCACAGCCACAGTATTTCTTGACCATTCCAAACACAACCTTAGAAAGCCGGTCAGATATGAAACCAAGTGGGTCAAGGTATCGTCGGTCTTGAAATTTATATAGGTCCACAGCGAAAGTTCACACTACTGGGCCAGGCTTCAGCATCCAGGCCTGCACTTTTAGTGATCCACTGGTCCAGCCTGGCTATTTCTTCCTTTAGTCCTAATTAACATTAAAGCCCAGTTTCTTTAAACTACAAAGCCTAGTTCCTACTTCTTTGAACCTTCACGTACATTCCAAGCAAGGGTTGTTTTTTTTTTTTTTTTTTAAGTACACAAATGAAGTTAGCTTAACGACAAAGCCTAGTTCTTACTTCTTGGAACCTTCCCTGCCAAGGTTTTTACAGTTAGCAGGATCTTTTCCTTACTAGTAATTTGATGGTGCACTAACTTATTATTATGTGGGTCGAGGTCTCTTTTATTCTAATGCGATCAGGAGGGACTTACAATTCCAAATCCACCTTTTGTTTACTCCTTCACGAGGCATTTTGGAGTGATAGCATATCAACTTTCAAGGCAGATCATACGTTTATTTCTCTGTTGCAGATTCATTTCAAATATACTAGAACAACTGGTCCCTCTATGGCGTGTAGAATTTCAGTTTGCATTAATGAATTTAGAATGTCAAGATTGTCTATAATTTTATTTAAATAACTTTAATAAATTTTTATTATATATTGATTCATTAAGAATATTTAATTTTTTATTATTCCTAAAATTTTAATTATCAATACTTTTTAATTTTTTACAATCCCTTTTATTAAAACAAAAAGAGAACTACAAAGCAATAGTTAGAATGATAGATTTTTTCTTTTGTGAATTTTATAATTTCCATACTAAAGACTCATGCATATATGATGATCAAATCAAAATGATGAACGAAGTTTTATGCAGGCAATTAATCAAATCCATTTTGTCATTTTCAAAGTTTAATTAATTACTTTATATATAGAAGGCTAGAAATTGAGGATTTGCATGTGTATAAAGAGGCCAATGGGGTTGCTGACTACCCAGCAAAGAACGGAACTAACTTACCGTCTGCTTTTGCTATGTATGAACAATGTCCTTCTGATGTTTCTTATGTTTTGAACTGTGATACCATTGGGGACGTTCTTCCCAGGACTGTAACTTTTGTTTAATATCTAATGCTATCAACTTATTTACCAAAAGAAATAAAAAAAAGTTAAGAGAAAATAAAAGAGAAAGGAAGGAAAAGAGAAATCATGGAAGTCAAGTTAGGGTAGATCAATCAGTTCAGTTACATATATATAAAGCTGAAACGAAAGAAGTCAAACTAAATTATAAACTAAGAACACAAGTCAACAAAAAAGCCAAAATCAAGTGGTCCTTACGAGGACAAACTCCTGACCAAAAACTCATATTTGTCAACGCTATTACTGGGCACTGCCACCATCACCTTCACCGCTTCAGCCCTATTGCACCCTGGTAAAACCAAACAGTACCTATCACAGCACACGGGTCCTACATGGACCGGTCTGCCCATCCCAAAGTCAACCATATCCAACCCCAGCCTTGACCACTGCGACATTATCAAGACCCCCACCAAGTCTGGACTGGCCCTCCCCCCGTTCACCGATTCCACCACAGATTTCACGTATTCGCTGTCCACTCTCTCCTTAGCCCTCTTCACTAACATTGCAGCGTACCCCAAACCCTTCTGTTCCAGCTCCTTCATGCTGCTCTGCGCGCACCCCAACACCATCGCGTTGCCGTAGAACCCGCGGGGAAGACTCGGCTTGACACGGTTCCGTACGTTGATGCTAAAAAGGAGTTTCAAGATTTGATTTTGGGGTAGGTTTAATGATCTAGCCCAGCTCCGCCATACATGGGCGGAGAGAACTTCGAAGGAAGTGAGTGATGACTCAGACAGCCGAGTTGTCAAGAGAGCGAGTTTCTTTAACTCGTTCAGACTTCGTTTCTCAAAGGTTATTGAGGTGGGAGTAAGTAGTCTCTCATTAGAGAAACGAGCCGAGAACGAGCAGAGGTCCGGAACTCGGTTGAACTCGGGATGAATCAGCCGCGGAGGCTTTACAGGTGATGGGTTTAGAAGGTGGCGATCCCATACAGGTTTCTGTTTAGTCTCCCCGAGTTTAGCTAACTCAGAGAACGAGTTGAGAAACTCGACACTCCCGACACCGTCGCAGATACAGTGGCTCATCCCAACTCCAAGCGTGGCATTGCCGTCTTTTAGCCACGTCAACTGGAGGACGAGCGGTGGGGCCCCTTGTAGAACATCCGCCACTTGGAAAAACAGCAGCTTCCTCCACTGAGAAACATACCTCGGCGCCCTTTCGAAATCGCTAATGGACTGGTCATCACATACAGCTTCAACGAAGACCGCACCCTGGGCTCGGCACAAGACCTCGAGACTGGACCCATCAGGCTTAGCCCTGACCCTACCGGCTAACGGGTAATATGGGACCAAGGCTTTACCTAGGGCAGCCTTGATACGAGCCGTGACAGCACATGGGTCTAACCCCGGTTGAGCCCTGTAGACCAAGAGATACTCTATAGTGAAGCGTAAAAAAAGCTGAGAATCGAGAGCTGAAAGAGAAAGGACGCAAGATGGAGTTGGGTCGGAGGGGGTAATCATGACGGACTCCTTGACATGAACAGAGGATGATCCCATTTTTTGTATTTTGAAGTTGGTTCTGCGATGGTGGAAGAAGAGGGAAGGGAGGGAGAAAATATATAAGTTGCATTATTAATTTTATTTTATTTTATTTTATTTTTTTGGAAGTGAGGTTTGTGTAATGTGCCCCTTTTTCTGTCTAACTGTGAAAGATTTGTGCCAAGATTCTCCGGGCGTCACTTTATGGAAAATTTAATACCAAAACAAAATTTAACAGCTTGCCGTTGCTTTCTGTCTGTTCGGCAAGACTGATAGCTATCACTCTGTCTGTATTACATATACTGGCATTATCAAATGTGCTTGTGCATGGGATTTGCTGGGATGTATTTTGTTATTTTTAAAGGTAGGAAGAAAATTATTATAAAAAATAGATAATAAAATAAACTACATAAAAAATATGATATTGAATAATTAATTTATGAATATTTCAATCAATTTAAGAAAATTTTTAATATTTTTAATAAAAAATTGTGAAAAGTAGCCTTAAATAGGAAAACACCCAAAAAAATTCATATATAGAGAAAAAGATATTAAATAAAATGTATTTATAAACTAAACGAAAGTTTTACATGAATTATATTTACTTAATTTAAAACTTTTACTAATTAAAATACTTTTAAAGATTAAAGTATTTATAACATTATTACAAAATTAAACTCATTTTGGAGAAAAAAAAAAAAAAACAATGACGACAGATGGAGTGATTTTACCCTCTTTAATTATTACTCTTCAGACTTTAGATATGTAATATGTTTTTGAAA